GGAACACGAACGCCTCACCCAAAGGATGGCAGAGGTCATGAAACGAATGGGAGAACGGTACCGGGCAGAAAAGCACCGACCAGCGGCACAACAACAGGCTGCTACGACTCGGCAGAAACTTCTTGCGCCGGACCCAAAAACGACCTCCAGGACAACACGTCAACTGGTCGTCAGATGAAGAATCCCCAACCGGTACGGGAACCTTCCGTGCAAGTCCAAGACGAACCATTACTGGACTCGAAAGTGATTAACCCGGCTAACTCGGCTAAGTTGTCACGGAGAGAAAAGAAAAAGGCTAAGTAAGAAGCCAAGAAGGAAGCCGAAAAGGAGGCGACCAAAGAACCCGTAAAGGGACCGACCAAACCGAAGTCGGATCCTTCAGTCAAAATGCCAAAACCAAACCCGGCTAAACGACATACATCCTCCGACGACCTCGACACCTCCGACGCCGGCCCACATAAGCTGGACAAAAACAAGAGTGCTAGAGCGAAGCGCGTATATGCAGCGCGTTTATGACAGCGAAGCAGCCGAAATACGGATGCAGGCATTAATTGCCAGCGCAGGTATGACGGCGAAAGGTCTAAGCCGACGCCTAAACCACCGGCCAAGGTAACGAAACCTTCCACGTCCAAGAAACAGTCGGACGAGGAATCCGAACAACCCTCGGAGCCCGATGAAGAAATTTCCGACCATGGAGAAGCCGATCCATACGAAGGATTTAAAGGCGATCGAAACGAAGAATGGAGCCATGAAGAAGACACTGATGCGTCCCAATGGCCAGCCTCTGATGACGTACGTCAGCGGCCACCTGATGTTCCACCGGGCGAGCAACCAGGCGGATTCCACACAGTTCGACTTCACGTCGAACTAGTCCGAAGCATTAGGAATGCCCGAACAGAAGGCCGAGACGTGTACCAGTCTTTGGTGTGCGACTTATCAACTAACTTACGGATCGTAGGTCGGACCTCACCTTTGCTCACACAAAAGCTTATGATGGCAATAGCGGCCTGGGCCCTGGACTTTGGATAAGCCGTAGCGGTCCACCGACAATGGGGACGGGTCGCCGAGCTGATCTTACCAGACATTATCCAGGAGCTCAAAAGTGCCGCGGCCAGAAATCAAGATGACCTCCCAACGAGAATCTAAGATGCATCGGGTACGCAAGAAACCCTCCCGGATCCTCACTACTACGCATTGCCCGTATATACAACGTTATGTACGAGAATAGTCAGGGAAACATCGATGCTATAATCGATGTCCTACGACCTGTCATCGCCACTATGGTGGCAGAATTCTCCCTTCATCCAGACGAACGCGGAACGCGGTGGCAGACGAACGCGGAACGTGACTTACCACTCCGATACACTGTACCGCGATTTTTACCGGAGCAGCAACGACGCGAATTTAACCTCCGGATATCCTTTGTTAACCTGCAGCGCTCTCCCGAAGTTACCGAGATGATCGTTGAAGAATACAGCGAGACGGATGAACAACCACCCGGGGAGGCGACGGATATTTTGAACATAGCACGAGCGTCTGGTATGTCGTCAGAGAAACGACTACCGGCTGACCGACCTCGGGCACCGTTTGAATCGGTCACATACATTAACACCGCCCCGGCACCAAGACAAGCGAGCGCGGCGAAGCCAGGTCGGAACGCAACAGGACGTTTCGCATCGAGAGACACACAATCTCTCCTACCGGCTTCACCAATGGAAGCTCCACCGGCTCCGGAAGGCAAGACTCCACGGAAGCGTCAACCTAAACCGGACAAGTCGGCGAAGACCAAGAAGAAGACGCCCTCCGAAGAGGAGGACGAGAATGAAGAAGATGAAGATGATGACAACTATCATACACCGGCAGAAGGGTCAGAGGACGATGACGACAGTCAACCTCCACCAGCTTCGGCACCACAACAACAGGGTGAACCGGAGATCTCCGATACTCAGAACGATCCACCGGCCGATAATAGCAACAATGCTGATGAGCCGATGGAAGAGGATGACGGTGGTGTCTACGTCCCCCAACAATACCGTCAACAAGCACGGACAACACCGGATTTCGACCCGAATCAACTCCTCATGGAATGGAACGAGGATACCCAGGAACACTTACCGAATGAGATTCCGAGATTACTGACCGTACATGTTAAATACCCGACAGTAGCCATCAAACGAGCTCAGTCCTTACCTCCACGCGTCTCGGAATACGACCCGGGATGGATGTGCACCTTTGCGGCTTTGAAAGCCCTAGCGACTTGTGGACCGAAGTTTGCCACACCGAAGATCGCCTTTAAACTTCGCAAACATTGGAAGATGGGAGACATCGGTGGAGGTTGGTGGCAACTCAGCCAGAGCAACGTGTACCAGTGCTGTAACCTTGGGTATAACGAAAGTAAAATTATACGGACGTACACCAACATCAAGCGGATGTACTACGAATTCCCACCGGAGAATCGAGATCCGGCGCCAACCACTTACGAAGGTTGGGTACACGCCATTGAAGCGTATGGAGATGTCGTGGCATCCAAAAGGACTGACCCGCAGTGAAATTCAACATCAGCTGGTAGCCAGGTTTGAACTTAGATGGTCGGCAGAACAACCTCAACTGGTCGACCCGAAGCATTAGCCTAAACCGGATCCCAAGTCATGGAAAGGAAAAATGTGTATGATGGGCGATGACCTGGACTTCGTCCTCAACAGGGGGTTTTTCCTGAAGCGATTCACCATCGACCAGACTCGGGAAGGTGAACGGTATGAGGCCTGTAACCCTTCGAGACATTAATACGGACATTTACCGAAGCATCGCCCGACCTCGAAGCAACAGAATGACTCGACCGACTCTCCCCAGGTTAACCGGGTGGAATCGACGAATACGGACACCCAGGATGAGGAGACGTAGAATACGTCGGAGGAGTCGCAGAATCGACCTCCTTCATAAGTACCACATAAATACTTACGATTACCGACCTCTTCCGTGGACACAACAGAATGTCATCATCTACCTCAACAGGCACCACATAAGTGCCTTGGACCAGTTCGAGAACCGACCTGGCCCGACCGTTGCAATTATAAGATTTAAACGTGTAGAATAAAACGCATCCGAGAAGCGGGTCGTTAAACTTTTCTTTTAACAGCCGCGAACGGAGCGTACACGATGGACTGCCGATATTGCAGAGAGAACTCAACTCCGCAGGGCAACAGACTCCCATGCGCGAACTGCAGAAATCCTTCTCGGATGAACATACCCCACAGGTCGGACGCCGAGATGCAATGCAAGCAGCGCTGTTGTACATAAACGTCGTCGCTGGGAACATAAGCGCGTACCGATGCTTGGCTCGCAGCGAACGCCTGATCAACCAATTACGAGCCCACGAACAAGACTACCTGGCGGAAATTCAACGCAACCGCGCCTCTGACCCAGGTTGGACTCACACAGTACCACCGATATTGACTAACCAACTTCTGGAAGATCGTCAGCAACAGGACATGAGACGCCAGAACGAAGAGCGTGCGAAGATTCAGGCAGTCGACGACAGGATTGCCAAAATGAAAGTCCATCCGCCTTCGTCGAAACATGAACCAGAAATCGCCGTTCGGTTGCAGCAGCCCACACAAGGCCGCTCCGACTCTGAACAACTGGTTCACGACGTACGAGAAGTGGTAGTCGGAGACATTCACAGACCTCTTCAAACAGCATCAGTTCAAATGATGATGCGAGCGGACGATGGAACCATGAAAATGGTCACCCTTTTCCCTGCAACAGAAGAACAGATGGCAACGATCCCCCAGAAGGTCGTTTCAGTGGTCACGCAAACCCAGCCGTCTGTTTCCCAGCAGATTCTTCAACCTGGACCTTCGGCACAACTAGCTGCCCCTTCGGCGACTCAACAGCAGCGCGGACCCGCCAAACCATTGGCAGGACATGACTTTCGACATAGGCTCGTACACGATGCTCGACACAGAATCGAGGAACGACGATCCTCTGCCGACCAGAGTAACAGCGAATCAACCAGACCTTCACCTGGTAAACGGTCCGGTCCGGAAGAATCCAGTATCGGATTGATCGTCGACTCAGCGAGCAAGTCGAAAACGAAACTTCGTCCCACCTGAACAGCAACAACAGAAGCCGGAAGCTCACATGGCGGAACCGGCCGATCAACCCGAAGAAATGAATGTCGAGGTGGCGAATCAGATGGTCCAGATGCCGACAGCGCAAATTCCAAGCCAGGACGACCCTCGTTACGACAACGCCCGACGACAGGGAACTGTGGCCGTTATGCCACACCCGAATGAACGGACGAATGACATCATGAACACTTTGGAATACGAAGAACGACACCGACCACAAAATTGGCGGATGGTAGAAACCTGCGTCAATTCCTCTTCCGATCGGGCTTTCAAACCAGATTTCAACAGAATAATTGGATGGGCGAGTTCAACATGACGGACCACCCCAACGTCGATTATTAGATCAATCGAGCAAACGCCTTGCCATCGGTGACTGACCCGGCACTGCTGGACATACTTATGTCCAGTCCGGAGAGGACGAGCATAAGTCAGCTCGGACATCAAGAGTACGCACGCGATCAACTGGAGAGCGTGGCTCAGTTCGTCATCACCGACGCCCACCCGGCCTTTGTCATCGCAGCAGCTCGAGCGGCCCTGGACTTACTGCAGTACCTGCCGGAATAAGAACCAGGACCGGAGGACCGTAACGCGACCAACAGCGATTCGGATCCGACCCAGAGCATGTGAGAGGTACGAACCGGACCACCGCTCCAAATAACTTTGCGGAGCTCGGATGAATGCCTAGAGGCTTAAAGTTTGGATACGAGTCCAGTCTGCGCATCACATCACACTTGTCTGGACAGCACGACGTTGCCGCCAGCACTTCTTCCTCTACATTTCATTACGCGATAGAACATGCTCTCAGACACTTGACGTGCTGATTTTCATGCCAGTTATTGGCCTCTTTGTTCTTTCTCTCCCGTAATCACGCGGTATTTGCCCCCTTTATTTGTCAAAAAAGACTTCTGTGAGCTCCCTGCGCTCGCCTGTTATACTACCGTTCAGAAAAACAGTGAATAAAAAACTGTAAGACTACTAAACGAAACTTAAAATTACTGCGACGCACAAATTTTCTTCTCTGCTCAGGAGCACGAAAACAAAAATGTTAAAAATTCCCACGGATGGACACGGTGTGTACGCCGCAAACAGCAATGACAACATGCATTAGAAAGGAAGCTTTTGGTATTGAAGGCACACTACTGGTGCAGAACGGACACTGACCCTCCCGTGTTCGGCAGCTTTAGGGCGTAAAATTCCAAATCTTGACGTGACCATCGTGGCCCACACTGACGATGGTGCGGTTGTCCAGCCAGTCTACCGCGTTCACCTGGCTCATCGGATGAGCGCCTAGAATTCATTAACTTAAGCAATAAAAATATGAATATATACTGATAATAAATTTAAACTGAATTAAAATATTATTAAAATACATTAATAACAAAATAATATTTTTATTGCTGAATCATTCTTAAAAAATCGTCACTGTTGCGGTTAATTCAAATCATAACCAGTTTACCTGTAGTTGACTACTAATTAACTGCCATTAATAAATTTAAAATAATCCGTAACTACTAATGATTTAATTTTATTCTTTTATTTTGATACGTTATTATTACGAGGAGCTTAATAATTTTGTTCAAATCAAATAATTCAATCTGCTTCACTAGAGCCAAACAAAAGAAAGCTGTTATAACCCTATGGAGAAGGTTAGCCAGTACCTTTGACAATGACGTGTTTGTGGGGATCGTCCATGTACCAGACGATGAGATTGGTGTCTAGACTGCCGCTGACGACGAATTTACTGTCGGGCGACCAGGCCACGCAGTTGACGCGGGCGGTGTGGAAGCCCCATTCCGTCTGGTGCTTCTTCTGCAGACCTTTCTTCCATTACAATTCTACTTTTAATTATATAAATCAGATAAAATTTTAATAAGAAAGAATCCACGAAAGCGTGTTTTTCGTGTTATTAAGCGCTTTTCCATTATTTACAGTTTACCCACCTGCTTTAATCAACAGTTTTTGTCAGCAATCATTTATTTCCTTATCTTTAATTATTTTTCGTTTCGAATTCGTTGATGTTGTCATTGCATTACTGACATTAGGTAAAGTCCAAAAAATCCTTATTTTCGACTCTCACTTTTGCAAACTGCTGTTGGCTCTTCATAACCGCGAAATCATATTTTATTTGGAAAAAGATAAATCGATTCATTTTTCAGAAACTATTATACTAGTAGTAATAATTTCATTCACTAAAATAAAATTTCAATACATAAAACTTCTATTTCCATAACAGACCTGGTGATCGGGTAGGGAATACACGATGACCTTCCGGTAGGCATCGCCGGCCACCAGGTACTGCCCATCGGCGGAATACGCCACCGCTGCAACGGCGCCGCCATGGTTTAGCGATTCCTTCTCCTGGACAAGCTTCCCGTTCTCCAGCGTGTACAGATGTAACTTGTTATCCTGCCACAAATAACCCCAGTACATTTTCCAACAACAGGACGGGTCTCTGAAACATTTACCGTATTTCCGCCGACGGCAATCTCCTTGCCGTTCGGATGGACGGCCACACAATTGGGCTCGTAGCCCACATCCAGGCTGGAGACGATCTTCCGGTCTTTCACCAGCAGGACGTGCTTCATGCAAGCCACGGCGGCCAGACCGTCTTTGGCAGCGGTGGACACGTGTTTGGGCATCGACGGCAGTTTGATATCAGCGCCACTGTCATATTAAGTCGACATGTCATGATTTCATTAGATAGCGAAAAGAGAGCTCAATAACCGATGAAGTACAAACAGTTTTAGGTGAAACTGGTTTCGAAGGCAGAGAAACTTGAAACTGTAAAATACTTAGGTAGCTTACTAAATTTCAGAACTAGAAAATTTAAACAAATTATTATAGTAAAGGAACTCTCTTAAATAAATCGTGCTTCTAGGGAATAAATTCGAACAGTTTCAGATTCAAATTAAATTTATCTAAAACTAAACGATATTGGACATTTTACTGCAAAATTATTTATCGAATTTCCCCCATCGATTCCGGTTTTCTGAACAAACAATAATTTAAATATTACCACATATTTCGTTTATGTTTTCGTGTTTCCGACTGAATTTATTTAAATTTCATAATTTTTTTCGCTTCCTTCACTTAAAATGACTGCTAGGCTGAACCTAGTTTCAGCAGAAAAACCATTTTCCAATCCAATCAGATTTTTTATTTTTTTTATTCGATTTCGATTATTTATTTTGAACTCCAAATTATCTTCGAATTGCTTTACGTGCAAGAAACCCCAATGGTTGGTCAATTAATCAGGAATACAAAATCCGAAAACATCACAAAGTGTAATTTCATCCTCAACTTACGTGAAGGCGTGATTCTGGAGATCGGCATGCTTGACTAGATCGTCCATGGCCACGCTGACCAGCTGGCCGGGTTCGGTGTTCTCCAGCAGCGCCAGACTCTGCACTTGGCTGGCGTGCGGTTTAGATTCCCCGCCGGCTACACGGTCGTTGTCGCCGTTGTCCGCGTTCCAGTATGCTACAGAACACATTTCCCGGTAGGCATATTTCCCGTAAGAAACCAAAAACGTTGCGCTCTAGGCCGAATAATTCCCCACCAGGCACAAAATAACTTAACTGCGCAAATACTTACTGATCGATCCATCGTGGCTGCCCGTAAACATCTCCGCTGGCTTCTTCCGCTTGTCCACCGCCAACGAGGTAACCGATTTATTGTGCCCCTGCACACAACAACAAATTTCCAATATTATCAACTATACCCAATTTATGAGTCGGCACGCAATTGTTGGTTATTCAGAACCATTAGAGCGAAAAACTATGTCTATATACATAAAAATAAGTGCAGTATATAGTTGTACAAATACAGCAATAACAATATAAAGCATGAATGCCGTTACGAATTCCTAGCAGCAGATTAGTAATGCTTGATGGAACAACGTAAGTATTCGAATTTCATTTATTATTTTACAATTAACCATACCTATTATGTTCATGTAATATGTTCAATAATATTATGTTCAATAATATTATTCACTTTAATTACAGAATTAGCAAAAATTAGAAAAAAAATTCGTACGATTCGTATCATATTAAATCGTGTTATGATATATCGTATTATGTATATCGTTTCATATTAAATTCGTTGCTCATAATTTTGTTAATCGTTATTGTTATGGCCGAATTTATGTGAGGGAATTGTAAATAAATCAACTCAATTGTTTAAGCTAAAAGGAGAATAATTATTTTTCATTTATTATTCAAGAGTAATCACACTACTTCAAGAAATAACATGCTCACTGGTAAACATGCGAGAAAATAATTTTCATATCGTATTTTGATGCGCGAGTTACGAAATAATAATTCTGCGGATCATTAATCGTATCTTGTGACCGACTCAATTATATTTGATTTTCTAACTGGATACAGCAAACTACTGGCCCGAAGCACGCCGGCATACCTTAATAATTCGCAACGGTTTACTGGCATCGTTCTTATCGAGGTAGTAGAGAAACCCAGCCAGCGAGACGGAGAGAATATGCGCTCCCTGCCAGAGACATCCCAGCTGCATACTCTCCAGATCCTCCCCGAAACGGTACTCCTGCACCACCTGCCCCGTCGACACATCCCACAGCTTGCAGCTCTTGTCGCCCGACGCCGAAATCAGCTGAGTGTTGTCCGGACTGAAGCACACCTGCGCCAAAATACATGCTACAAATCAGCTTCCGACTGAGGAATTTTATAATGAAATAAAATTACAGTACCGCGTAAACGCCACCCGCATGGGCTTTGTTCTCGCCACCCAGCTCCAACAGTTTTGTCGCTTCTTTCCCGTCGTAGATCACAATCTGGCGAAGTAACATGTACATTATGAAAAACGGTAACAGCAAGAACAAACAGGTTCTAAAATTCAGGCAACTACGGTAACCTCAGCAAATGATAACGGTTATAACTCACTGTAGCTGCACTTCAGAAAATCAGTTATAACGGTTTGATGACTGATTTTCCGGCATTTTTCATTACCGAAAAAATCGCTCACGAAACTCTTTAAGAAGCATTGCTACGATTGCTAAAATCGACTTTTTCAAAATTTTATAAAAGAATAAAAATAATTCAGCAGAGGAACGCAATGTACTTTCACGAAAATTAAGAAAAAGGAGGCCAAATAACATCATAGAAAATATCTTCACTGGCTCCTTACAACGATATTCTAGCATTTTTAATCCCATGAACAACCCGAAATATTTCTATTATCGAATTTCTTCAAATAAAATTTTTTAATGCGGATAAAAGATTCGACAAAAAATGGCATAAATGGGTTTTTTATAATTAAGAAAAATTATAATTATAATAACATTTTCTTAATAACACAATCCATAATATAATAAAATCATAATAAACAATTTTTAAATGGAATTATCAATTATCGCAAGTACCTTCCCATCAGCACCACCGCTGGCGAATTTCTCACCATTCGGTGAGTACCTCACGCAGTTGACAAAGTTGGTATGATCCTGTAAGTCAACCAACAATAATCCCAACCCGACTCAAAAACCAAAACAAATGCTCAATACATTCAGCGTCTTGTCGAACTTGAAGGGCGGCCCCTGGAAGTGGCCGACGGAGGTGTCCTCCGAGCCGGTGATGACGCGGAAGGGCCGCGCCGGGCGGAAGTCGATGGAGTTGATGGGCTTGCTCTGGCCGGCGATCTCCCGACGGAGGTGCCCGTGTCCGCCATGAACACGTGCCCGAAGCGCTCGCGGCCCTCCCCGCCCACGGCGATGCGCTGGCTGTCGGGGGACCAGGCCAGATCCTTGATAGGACCGCCGAAGGGCTGGAATTCGTTCTTCAGCAGATGCTCTTTCTGGGTGGTGTCCCAGATGCGCACTTTTCCAGCGTTGTCTGCACAACACAACAGCAAGTCAACGCAACAGCATTGTGTTACAATTCTGTGTAAAGTAAATCCATAAATCTCATTTATTTAAGGGAGTAATTTACACAACAGAAACCTTTGAAAATTCGTACAAAAAATTCACTCTTAAAATTTGGTTCAACCTAAAACAAATTAATTTTCAATTAAAAAATTAAAAAACTTTAATTTAATTACAGAAGTAGAAATACATAATCAGGATACACAGAACAATCATTATCTAATTATTTAAAAAAATTACCAAATTGTTATGGTTTCGTATTTTTATACGGGTTTAATTTTACATTATGTAATAGCAGTTTGCGTTCTTTCAAATAGAGCATAACATCCCTAAAAAATTCACAAAAAGCCATAAAAAGATCTTAAAAAATCTCGCAAAATACTGCACAAAGTTAATATTACATAATTATCACATAACTGTATAATAATGTTTTACTTCTGGTTTGTTTGTGACAAACAAGCCAGAAAAAATGCTCAAAAGTTCAAAACGACTAAAATCGCAAAACCTTTTCTGTTTTTATTTTGGTTGCTCGAATTAATCAATTTTTGTTGCTTGAATAATTAGTTCAAAATACAATTTTGGTATGCTGTAGGGACACACAGTATAAATAGGAAAGACATACTTCCATTAAAAATTTTAAAATAATGTTCCTCGTTCGTTTTACCTGCGGAGGCAATGTAGAATCCACTGGGTGAGTACTTGGCGCAATTAACGATAGTTGAGTGCTCCGTGTACACATCACAGATCGCTGGATTCTGTGCAAAACACCGCGTCGTCAATACAGCCAGCAAATCTTAGAAACCCCAGAGAACGGCGCAATTACCGCGATATCCCGAATGATGACGCTGTTGCCGTTAGCGTAGAGGAAATTCTTCCCCTTGGGATCCCCACCGAAAACCACGGGCAGACCGCGTTGGGTGCGCGGTGTCGCGGCGTAAATACTCCCTGCGTAAAAGAAGCAATCAAATAGTTATTATCCACACCTACAACCACCGCGATAATCATGCAGGCTTACGGGATTTGCAAGAAGACATGCTAGGAATAATAATATTCACTCAAGGATTTCTGATCTGCCTCGCAGACTAATCAAGCAGCTGCACACAATTTTTAAGGAGATATTGAGGAGAAACGGAGGGGATCGATGGAGAAGATGTTGTTTGTGGAGAAATGGATGATAAACAACGCTGTCGACGATTGACGCTGGGCGACTGCTGTTCAGTGCTGGCCAAAAATAGCCAAACGCTGCTGCATGAATGTTTATGCAGAAGTGCAGAGGACGGCCTTGTCGATGTGTTGTGGGTGGTCATGCATACTCACGCTACACCGCTGACTCACTGCAGTCTGCAGTTACTGTAATCTGGCCGGAAGAGTGAGACACATGTAGCTGGCTGATGGGTGCGGTTGGATCTATGTTCCATCTATGCAAGCGCAAGCCACTCCAGTTGGCGATGTTACGTAAAAGCCAGCGACCAGAGCCGGAGTGTGATTTGCTGATTTCCGGTGGAGATGCTCTAATCTTCGTCTAGTGCGGCAGTGCCAAAAAGCTGCAGTGCCGTATAGGAAATTTTCTCTGAAGAATCCTGCGTAATTCATAATTTTCCTTGAAAAAAATTTGCCGTTGATCACTTGTCTGGAAGAGCTGTACATAGAAAAAGCTTGAGTGCAAGTACCGTACACACGTCGCCGTTAATATATTATCTGTAGCTGGCATCTTTTAGTGCGCCCCGTATCTCTATAAATGCTAACGATAAGATAATACTGCACAACAGCCTATAAAAGCTGCTGTTCTGTAAAAGCTGGGATGACGGGATGCAGCAGCAGCTTGTAAAAGTGGAGATCATAAACGGTGCTTTTACCAAGGTATATCTGTATAAGAGTGCCCTGCTTTTACGTTTTAACTAACTTAACGCAATTAGTAAGGTGGATCTCCGATTGTGACGACGCTTGCTCATCCTAATCGTCCTTAACGCAACTCACAGCATGTTTAATGACAAGGTAATACAACAAACGGAGCAAGGTTTGGTGAAAGAAATTTGGCAAAATGCAACAAGTGGTAACAAGCGAGTTCATTAGCGCTAAGCGAGTTCATTCAAACTACTGCGCATCTGTTCTATTGAAACTGAACGCAGTAGACATCGGTATTTGCAGTTCCACAGCCTTGCGAACAGCATTCTGGAGCATAGCACCACATTATTTTTGTGACCGTTTACTGTTTATTCATTTAATCATAACAATTATTATGAAGCAATTTGCGGTATATTTATCATTTTGTGACGCTTAACATTTAATAACGCCCCCCTGGGCGGTAAATTCGGGGGGAGGCGCTATTTTTCAAACGAGTTGTGGGAGGGGGGCTTATTACGGAGGGGGGCCTTATTACGGGGGGAGGTGCAAATTCGATAGTTACGGTATCTCAGAGTCGTTTTATTCATTTATTTTTGCTACATAGTTTTAAAATCTTATGCTTTTACTCTGGAGATGATAGGCAGTATAAACATTAAAAATGCTTGGCATATTTTTTGTACTTTAAGTAACCTATAATGTTTATGTTCCTGTTGATTACGGTACTATATATTCACGGCACGAAATGATGATAAAGTCTGCACCATTCTTTAAATTATATTACCAAGGTTGCGGCGAAGTAAAATATTAACAACGCAAATTTAGCAAAATGAAGGGGCTATCTTATCGTAACTTTTGCGGTAGAATAATTATTTTGCCGCACCAACTCCGGTAACTGCGGTAAATGCCTCTTTACAAAGAGAATTCCGGCAGACAATGGCCGGCAGATTACTAGATGCTTTGTATGTATTTAACTATTTTAACGCAAAGATCGGCAATAGCCTGTTGCTGTCACTGTGCGTCGCAGCTTCGTATTTCATATGGAACCAACATTGTTTAGCAAAAACGTAAAGGGTGAAAATAGCACCGATTATGCGGAACTACTTACTTGCTTACTCTTTAATTTTCCTATGGAAATACTCTAATAATACAGATAGAAGTAAATATTTATAGCAGTGAAACTTTTTTCGAGGTTGTGAAGCATTGTAAAAAAAAATTATTATGTATGTTTAACAGCACATTTATGTTTTAATCTATATTTCTTACGTTTCTTATATTATCCTTCTGTTTTTCTCAAGTTTTTTTTCCTGTTTTCTTGATTCTTCTATTTGTTTATGATTTCTGAAGTTTCTGAAGCCAGCAGACTGTCGTCATCAAGATGTCGGTTTAGCAAACTGTCGCACAAAATCTTGCCTTTCAGTTTCATCGGGTTGTCGCTTCAACAATTGTCGGGTAAACATAAGCCGGTCAGCAAAAAGTCGTCAGTAAGTTGTCGGTCAGCAAGATAGCGATCAGCAAATGTCTGGCCGCCGCGATGTGTCGCTCGGCGTTACGGATAGAAATACACACTGTTGCCTCATTAGAGAACGGTAGCAGGGTGATTGTACTGTACTTCGCCAACAGCAGGAAACTATTCGGTAATGGTTTGTGATAGCGCAATTGTTTTTTTTTGTTTACAGTATCTGATTAGTATGAATACAACGCGGCATTTCTTTAGCGACGTTGGGTGGATTATTGAATGTCATCCAAAATGATTCGCTTCCCTAGGCGTTCTCCTTTTGGTCTCCGCCGTGCTAAGGATACGCCTAAAACAGTTGTACTGACGCTTTTGTCTGCTTCTGCGTTTGTGTTCTTGGTTTATGATTCACGTTTGTCGAGCACACCTAAAAATGCCGAAGGGATGCCAGCGGAAGTGCGTACAGTCTGTATTACCGAACAACCAGAATCAGTCAAAGGAAAGCGGAACCGTCGTTTTCGGGGTCCAGAAAGCATTATAATTTTAATTGGGAATTATCGTGATTCACGACGATGTTCGGAAACACTGAAGTCGTTGTTTTCCAACGCAGTTAATCCAGATAATCTAAAAGTTGCCATATACGACCAGATCTACTTACAACAAGGAGAAGAGCGATGCGTTGATGTGTTCTGCAACCTCGTCGGTAAAAGCAATTGTTTTCGAGACCAGATCGTCAATAAAACGGCGGACGCTGCTAACGCTACCGGTCCAACGCGCGCGCGATACGAAATAGAAAAGTTTATAGGAGACGAACAATTTTGTTTGTCCGTTGACTCCCACGTTACATTTGTTGATAGATGGGATCAGAAACTGCTGCTTGATTGGTTTGCTCTAGCGAATAAAAAGGCAATTCTAACAGTATATCCCAAATCAGCTCCCAGTTTGGTTGATGGTGCTTCCGATCAGGTTCCTTACATGCGCAATGCAAAAATAGAATCAGCCGATGCAGACGCTATGGTGCAGTACGGGTCGGCAGTTTCGATAGCAAGAATGCCCAAGCCGCGTATAATGTCGCAGTTTGCTGCTGGATTCAATTTTGGAAGCTGTGAGCACGCCAAGGAAGCCCGCAGTGACCCTTACACGCCCTTTCTATTCCACGGAGAGGAGTATTCCCGAGCTGCTCGTTTATGGACACGCGGGTAAACATAAATTCTATCAATAAGAGACCTATGAATCATACTTATCATAGTAATATCGGTACATTTATTTAGACGTTTACTCAGACGTGAAATGTGTATAGATCACAATCACCCTTAAATTTGTCAATAAATCAGTGTTATTTTTGTCCCAGAAAAGTCATAATTTGTCCTAGACTAGTTTTGTCATAACGGGACATAAATATACCGGTTTAAAGTACGTCATTTTCGTGTATAGGTTTCTGTGTTTTTATCAGCTGAGTATCAATGTACTATAATGTAATTATTTGCTTGCCGGCTATAATTTGTACGGGTATGCTTCTTTTCGTATGTTTGCTCGTACAGGTGACAGGAGTACATTATTATGCCATGGAAGTACTACAAGTTTTACCATACGCTACTGTTATTAACAATAATTCGCTAGGTATGTGGTTTGTGAGTCTGTGACGTAGTATGTAGAGTAGCTGACGTTCAAAATGGACACAAAACGAATTTTTGTATCGCATTGCCAAACAAAACAAAGTTTTTTATCGCATTTTTATCGAAAAACGTATTGGCAGAGCTTGCAGTATGTTGTTGTCCTGTATGACAGGTACGACTTCTACGCGCCTACACAGGATATTGTGTTCCACTGGTACGAGACCCGAAAAGTTGTCTGGGAGACCGACTGGGAAAAACGATCCTTAATACAGAAAAAGTCGCGCCGCCGAATCCGTTGCATGATGGGGCTTAATGTTTCCAGCCGTGATTTTGATGAGTTCGGGCTAAAAAAGTTTGGTTTAGGCAAACGAAGGACTTTCGCGCAATGGCAGAACTTCACAAAGATCGACCCAGGGGATTCATTTGATGCAAGCAAGGATCCTCAGTTCAGCAACTGTGGAGAACTATCTTTGGTTCCGTACAAATAACTAATACCTAAGTAATAATTTTTCTTTATATGTTTTCGTACCGTCAAAGTTTACAGAAAGGATTTGGCAGTGTACCAAATACTACACTGCAGACTGACACATTTGTATTATTTGAATGTGATAACAGATTAACAACCATGGTCTGCTTTCGGCTTCCTGAACAAGTTGCCGAAAAATTAACGTAAGCACATGTGTGCAATCCATACCTAATTGTATACATGTGTTAATTCGTTTTTCGGTAGAAAATAATTGGCCAGCCACAAAGTGTATTTATCTTCATTCGCGATTTCCGATTTCGTTATCTAAGCAGAAGTTCGAATAAGTATCAATAAATCTCTAAGACAGAATCGTGCCTACACTGCGCACACTTTGGTTATGCATTAAATAACTTTCACTTTTAATATCGGCAAGAGGTAATTGACCGAGCTAAACAAGGAAGTTGTACGCGTGCGGCGTGCATTAAACGGCGTCATCCGCTCTTCGAAGCACCGTTTGCAAGTCATCTCGCGATGGCGCCGTTAAGTTCACTAAGAAGAGCTGATGGCAATCGCAAAGTTTTGCGCCGAAATTTAACTGGCGGAATGTTCAAGTTTTGGTTGAATTGTATTGTTGTTGGCTGGCCGCTGCTGTTGAACGATGGAGCATTTTGGGTGGAAGCAGAAGTTTCATCTGAAACGAATAAAGTACTGTACATAACGTATTACCCTTATACTTCTGCATGAATCGTATACTTCTGTATATATATTATAGCTGGTTTTCTACCTGTTTTTGTATTTCCGTTAAAATATTTTTTGGCGATAAAAAATACTTGCAGGAAATTTTGCCGGCTTTTCGACCATAAAAAACTTGTGCCGGTGTTTTGATCACACAAAAAGTCGGTCGGCAGAAAATTCTGTCGGCGTTGTGACCTTGGCCGCTTACAGATGCAGCACTGCTGATCTACATACCGGTACGCTATAGATGTGACTGAACGTGCGGTGCGCTACTTGGTACTACCAAGGTGGTAGTACCGCGATGTACGGGCGTGCGTACATTGCGCTTAATAATTATTATTGTTCATGCTCTTTGATTTGACGCTACCGACTGACCTAGCGGTTTGTATCCGCTATCGCATGTGCCGTATATACGAGCTTGTCCAGTAATTTCTGACGAATCGATACGAGTACAGCGCATATCTATAATTATAATATACAAATTCATGACGCAGTGTAGTGGCAACTGCCATAGCCTAAACTTCGTACCACTGTGCTGTACTACTTTCTGTTGTCCCACTGTGCTATACTACTGTAGAGCGGCATTGGCTGTCTGTACCTTTAGTCCTTTACATAGAAAATAGAAAATCTCCGAACAAGGTTGTACAAGTAATGTACGGCTGATGCGAATGCGGATACAAACCGCTTGGTCAGTCGGTAGCGATTTTATGCTTATGATCTGGGCCCATTACTTCTCCAGCTTACTCGCGTATCAGCTTGTTCGTCAGCGGATAATGTTCCATCGGCTTATTGTTTGTGTTTCTGTTGTTTGCCTATTCTCGTTGCGAATAAAGACTCATTCACCACTGTCGTATTAATAAGCGGGTGTGCTTGATTAACCACTTCCCAGCCACGCTTAGCGGTATGAGCACTCTTCTCTCTCAAACTGCCCAGTGCAAAATTTATGACCACCCTCTGACCTCTAAAGGGCAAGGTGCAAAATGGCCTTCAGGAGGTCATAAAGTAGGCAAAATAGATGGCATCCGGGAGCCCCCCAACTTTGAGGCCTCTGGAAGGCGCCGCCGGATGCCAGCAAAATGGCTGTTGGTTATGGGCCTCCCAAAGGTGCCATGGCGGCGTTCCCGGTGCCTTCCAGATGGCAATCCCGGATTGACTATTAGGGCCTGTTATTAAACCACATAGTGCCTATTGCGGCACTGCCTACTATACAAGGCTGGATTATCCATGTTTATTGTAATCAAGTGTGATTTTTTAACCATGATCCATACGTTACTGGGCCATTTTATCCCCCGGATGCTATCATGCTAGCTAGTAATTTAGTGCAGAATTGCACACTCGTGATAATTGCCATGTTTTAGTTAGATAAATACATTTTGTATTTTACCAACTAGCGCAATCATCGCCAATATTGCCCTAAGTTTCCTAATAAAACTAACTGGACAATGGCGCATATTGTATGATATTTTCTTCACGTTGTACGAACGAAAGAATTTAAATTTTACGTAAAAGAAAGTAGAGTACAGTACAATTAAGTAAATCAATTTCATGAATAAATTTTGAGAACTGGAGAATCCACACTGCCAGCCGCGACAGTGTAACCCATTCCCGCGTTTGAGGCGGACTAGGCAGCAACGGCAGCTGAACTGCACTGCTGCAGTCTGTCTTTTCACTTTGTCAAGAACCTTGTCCATATGGATAAAAATTAATCATATATAAACGATTGTTATTCTAATTTAATAGTTATTACAATTATAAGACACCACAAATAGTTAACTATTAATTGTGCTTGTTGGCAGAGGGTTGCTTGAATCGCTTTGTTTGATATGTTTGCGCTCATGCATGATACAGCGATACTTATCCTTGTTATAACAGTAATAATAACACATGTGGGTTACTGCAACTGACGATGGACTACTCACTACTTTCGCGTCTGGTGTTTTTTACTCTTTCGAAACCTATAATCTTGGAACCTATATTCCTAAATCTTGTACTCTGATACTCTGGAGGCCAGACTTAGCCAGCGCTCATTTCAAGATTACCCTGAAAACTCCTCGTTGTCAGTCGCAGATCTTCATGGGTCCCCAAGTTCTGCAGCAACGGTGCTTACGGTACGACTTTATTTTCACAATTTCTCTGAATAAAGAATAATCTTTTCACTAATAATTTCGTTGATGAGCACATGTGCAGTTTATAAATTATTCGGTAATTTCGGTTGGATTGTTTGGTTTTGTTTGTCATCGTTGATTTTACTTAATTACTATGTTTTTGATTTTTCCTTTGATTTTTATTTTTTGTTGCTGATTAATTTTGCAGGCGTACCCTGTGATCCTAGGGGAAATCAAGGCCAACGGGAACTTCAACGCTCAAAGTCAAACCATTCACCACTAATGAGACGTATGCGTTCAAGGCTCATCGCTGACGCTCAGGTACATCGTACTGTAATTAATAAAAATATAGATTTTTGTCAAAATTCAAATGCAGTGAACGTTGTGTATTGTACAGTGTTCAAATACGTTGTTCATTAATAGTTTTCCCAATAACCCGATTTAGTTAAATTTCTCCTAATTGTCATTAATTTGGCAGTGCGACACTGCGACGGAGAGACGCTGGTGGGTCTTTATTGAGCAACGACTACCGCGCCCGCGACGTAACGGCCTCGTTGACGCTGGACCAGTTGGACATTTAGAGCATCGGACAACGCCGTCGGCGCCGAGCCAGAACATACCTCACCAGGGCATACTGATCCGGTTTCCGGCGGCCAGATTGTTTCTGCCCAGCAGCAGATACACCGGTACAAAATTAATTCATTTTAATTATTTTCAGTTCTTTTGAAGGATATTCGCTGCCTGCATATTATCATATTTGAAATTACTGTAATTTATCATTTTGGTTGTATGGTTGTATTTGGTTGTTTTAATATTTAATTTACTATAATTTTGGTAAATATAGATGTTTATGTCATCACGTTGGTTAAGTACGTATTAAAATTTTAATAAATTTGAAATGCAGCGGTTATTTTTTCTCGACAGGCAGTGACTTTCATATGGCGGCCCTAGTCATTAACAGCGTGTCCAGTCGGCTACGCCGTCGAGATCCCAAAACCAGCGCGGCCTTCCGGTAAGTTATTTTTGTCATTTTGTCAGCGTAGTAGTACCAATACTGAGACGAGCGCTTGTACGTACACTGCGTTTTATTTCTTCTAAAATTTTAAACACTCAGGAATTATTCGAAAATTCTTGTTGCAGGTGCGCATCGGAGTGAGTGTCAAGTGCATTTGTTGTATTCCCATTTGGACCGTTTGATAAAGTCTGTCTCCATCCAGAGCCGGAATCCGCTTATTAAACATATATCTTCCGAGTGGATATTGACACGCTAGCCTCGATTTTAATTAAATGAACTCTTGTTTATTAAAGACATGTCTGGTTTAGCTTTAAGATTTAAATAAGGTAATTATCCTATACTGTGGAGTGTGGTGGTGTTTGTTGGCTTTATAAATTTTATTTAATTTCAAACTGAATGGAAATCCTGCAATGCATTGTCCTTATTACGGCATTTGGTGAATCTCAATAAAAAACAGTACGAGCGAGCTATCCCTGCACAAAAGCTGGGCTGTAGTAGGCTGTCACCACCCTCGTCTAGAGGCCCTTATATGCACCCGGGAGGCCCAACCGCACACCTCCAAATGGCCCGTGGAGGCCTTCCGAGGGGCATTTTCTGTAACCTTTA